TATATATATATATATATATATATATCGACGCTTCGACCATAAGGTCGGACCACCAGTGAAGGATCAGGAAGGCATGGGGGGCCATAGGCATAATATCGTGCAATGATAATATGCGTATCTGTCACACATATAGACGCGAATTGATTTTACGCGTTTATTCCGAAGCAAACGCCCCTGAACAAAAGCTCTACGTAACCCGCCGCACCCTCAAGTATTAAGCGCGTCTTCAGTGACGTAAGGAATACATGCTCAAACTTGAGGGATAGCGTTTAGCGATACTTGATAACCATGTCCAAACTAGAACATAGAATATACACATACTCGCGAAAACGTCTTTCATCTATTAAAATTTTTGCAGAACGTAACGCATAACGGGCTTAATAGGTGACCAATATCGTGTGAAGTGTAATACATTGCAATAGTGAGCATTGTCGGGTCCATTTAATAAAAATATATGATGGTCTCCGAAAAAAGAACTATGATCGGCTGAATCCGCCTCTGGTTAGACAGCGGCTCAACGCCCTAGTGTCATGAGCAAAACCCAAATCTCGCGGCGATGGAGCCCTGCGTGGGCACGTGGTTGGTGAGGGGAGGTGGAGGGGCGAAGGCAATCTCAGGGACGATCGACCGGTGCGCGAAGTGAGGGGGCATTGCGCCCGCCCGCAGGGGGACGCGACGCGGCGGCAACTGCTATCCCGGCGAGGCTGATCGAAAGCCGCAGCCCTAGCCACGCACGCACGCAGGCGCTGCTCGGCATATATTTGCACCAACAAAACTCACACGCCACTCGGCGAGTGCTGATAATAAAGATAGGCGAAACGATGCGATGGGAAAAAGTGAAAGTACGAAATATATAGTTTTTTGTATAGAGTGCTTTATTAACAATTTTACAAGTGCATAAGAGATAAAACAAATTAAAATGTGTTGTTAAAGAAAAAAATCATTATAAACATGACAAATAAAATATAATATCAGTATTGAAACTTACGACATACTACAGCTGTATGTTCGTCGCCGCATGCTATCTCTACAACAGGGTCATTCCTGATAAAGAAATGACTAGGTACGTTATCGGCGAATCGACTTCTCCCAAACGTAAATACTGCTCCAGTACCTATTTGAACAGGATAACGAATATAAAATATTTTCTAGTAAATGCTTATATATCTTATTAGAAAAATATTTCTCTATTTAAAAATAGGCAATTTGTTAGCACAAAGTAGGGACGTCATTCTTTGTACCTAATTGCATTAAGAATTTCAGCGGATTGGATGTCCAAAAGGAAAAAAACGGACATTTACTTTTAAAGGCTCTGTACTAATCATATTTATAAAGTCCTGAATAACGCTTTCTCATGAGTTCAAGGCTACATGCACATGACATTTCGCACATATTTGTTTATCGTACCTGGAATGTCCACCTCTTCGTTCCCCGCCATATTTTGACACACTACAGGAAACGAAGAACCTAGAACGCTCAACAATGAACGAAATATGGAAGTTAATATGAAGCTCGAGAATGTGAAATCTATTAATTCTATTCGTTTTACTTTTTGGAATTTTTTACAATCAGTGGAAAAGGTTAAAATATACAATAATCATATGTTTTATTGGAAGCTAATATCTGGGATTTTCCGAGTATGTTGGTATTTCCTATGGTTTCACATGTGCATGCATTCTACTAGTTTTGTTTGTGTGTGGCAGTAGTTGTTACCACTGGGATGAGCGTTCATTTATGAAATTGGTCAATTGAATAAGATAGATGATTAAAGAGCGAAAGTCTGTGTTATGCAAATATTTATTGTATTTTTATAAGCACTTTTAGTTATGAGTTGATTTTAAAATTGATATTAAACTCTCCTCTGTGATAAGACGTGTTTGTTATTTGCACCTAACCTCGAAGTGATGTATTGTTAGTGTTTATCGTGAATAAAGTTGTAGCGTTTGTGAAAATCAAGCGTTATGTCAGAGAAAACAGAGGAAGATTTAAATCAAAAGGACTCTCAGGTAGTGAATGACAGTGAAAGCGAAGATAAACTTGAAAAAAGCACCACAGAGTGCAATGACGTTCCCAATACGTTAGACTCGAGCGACCCTAACCAAGAACACAATAAAAATGTACATTATGAAGGTGAAACTTGCATCTACACAGACCCTGAATCTAAGTATCAGTATGTATGGATTTCAGAAAAAAACAAATGGGTCCCGAGATCCGACAGTACGGAAAAAGGGGAGAAAATTTCAGAAGCCGATTCAAATTCTCTGCCGAACACCGTTTCTGATAAAGATTATAAGTTTGATGGAGAATCGTATGTATATGTCGACAAACAGACCGGTAAATATAAAAGAGTACATGTTTGTGTTTCTGTAGTTATCATTAATGTTCTCAAACTTGTTAGGTTTAATGTGTTTGTTTTTTAAGGTGTGACGTATAAATATGATACTGCTAGAAACAAATGGATAGAAAAAACAAATTCAACTATTTCAAAGAAGAAGAAAGAGGGGAGTGTTGAATCAGACAGTGATGAAGACAGCTCCCCTGATAATGTTGTTAGACAAGATATGAGTGGTCACTATAGTTTTGATGGGGATTCTCATCTTTACACAGATCCAAATGATGGGACAGTGTATTTGTGGGATCGAGAAAAGAATGCATGGTTCCCGAAGGTTTGTATAGAAGCGTAGCTTTAATAGTAATTGTAAACTAAATGTTTAGTGTGAGTATAATGTATCCTATTCTCTTCAAAACAATGTAGCCAATATTTGGAACAGATGAATTGAGGTGTTTATTATTTCCTGGAATGATCAGAATAATATTTTTGCATTTCATTTTCTAAGCATACACCCGGTCATGGTCAAACTGTCTTTTATTCTCTTTAGGATGTGAACAGAAACTTGACATAAGTTTTCCAGTGACTCCTTAGTCTTCTGACTTAATTACACAACGTGCCCCTGTTCCCCTACATTTGTATACTATGAAAATATTGTTTATTGGAAACCGTTTTGAAATACAAAATTAGTGATTAGATGGAATATTGTAACCTACTATTTTTAGAAATGAGGCTATAAAATTATATTAATTTTGTTTAAAAAGTCTTATGGAATTTTAGTTCAAGGATATGTCAACCTCTCTGCATTTGCTTCTATTTTATAATAATATTGATGTAATTGCTAGTCACCCTTTATAATTAACCAGGAGATAAAATCGGCACTGAATGTAGCATGAAAGTCACTCTCTAAAGTAAAATATTTTTATGTAAAGTCTTAACCAAAGTGTATGTTTTGGTTCCATTCATAATTTTATTTATTTTGTAAAAGAATTTGTGGATGAGTTTCTTAGTGAATAGTATCTGTGTTGTCCTGAACTTAATTGTATGTCATGAAGGGCTTGGAGTTCTGGTATTTGTAATTTGGTGTATAGTGTTAAAGGCCAGCATGTGTCCACGATCTAATGGATTGTCTGGAGTTAGGTTCCCAGGGCATATCAATGGTTAGCAACTAATCATCTCAGGCAAACTCAACATATTTGGCTTATCTTAAATCAAATTCTTTCTCATTTTATCCCTCTTGTGTATACAATTTTTACTTACTCCTCAATTGGAAACTGGACCTTTGTCAGAGGAGACCTGAGCAGACCCTCAGTTGTCAAAGATGAATTAAAGAAATTCAACCTAACAGTGCAGATAGATACTGTCAGAGGAATTGATATGATCATTTAAAGTGATCAGAGGAAAATAAAGTACTGAACCTTCCCAACTTTAATTATAGAAAAACAAACAGGGGAAGGCTTATAATAGGCAGGTTAACAGACTCAACTCATGCTGTGATAATGGTGATGACGACTTTCATTTTCATTTATATGAATATTTTATAGGTTAATAGGAATGGAATATATTTTATAATATTAATCACAATAGAGGTATGAGGTAATTATAATGAAACATTTTTGCTAATACTTTCTCATTGCTACACTTTATTCATGTAGATTTATTAAGTAGCAGAATTTAATGGAAAGAATTATTTGAAAATGAAAAAATGTATTTTAAAAAGAAACATTTTTCTGTCTGGAAATATTGATGGATGAAAATTGAAATTTGTAACATTATTTTATTGAAGAGTTACAAAATGTTTTCCTTGCATTCCTATTCTGTTGACAAACGAATGATCTTCAGCTTTTTTCTTACTTTATTAGTTTTCTTTGATATATCTCCAAATGTTCATTCTTACCTTAATCCCTTATCAGCAAAGTGGATCTATTTCTTTACAATCTATGAATGTTTCATATTATTGTATTTTCCAATTATCTCTGCATGATTTAATCTTATTACTTAAATGACATGAATATGTGTGACTCATATTTGTCTGCCAAATTCTCATCCCATTTTTGCCATCTGGCCATATTCAATTTTACAGGCATATTGTAGGATATTTTTCACTGTGAATTAATTGTGTTCACATGTTTTCAGGTTGATGAAGATTTTCTCGCCCATTATCAAATGAATTATGGTTTCATTGAAGCAAAAGATGTTCCCGAAAGTAAGGAGAAGGAAAAGCAGAAGGAAGAGAAAGAGGATGAGAGTTCAGCAAATGAAGAGGAATTGAAGAGGAAAGCGGCACCTAAAGAACCAGGTGATGGGCTTTCAAATTCTCAAAACCAAATAAGTTTGCAGAATCTTGCACCATTTCAGGCACATACAGCACATTTCTCTTTAGTTTGTATGAACATTTGCTTGATTATAATTACAAAAAAAACAACAACAAAATGTTTATTGATTTACTTTCACAAGACACATCAGTTGAAAAATTGAATGTTAATGAACATGTATATTATTAATGTTTTGTATGACAGTAGTATCCTGGACTATTTAAAGACAATCAAACCTCAAGTACTTTTAACCAGAATTATTTTTATTTACCTCAGTTGTAATGTTACATGTTTGTTTGCAACAAGCATTATTTAAAAGCTCAGAAGTTTAAGAATTTATTTCTGTAAAATAGGGAGGCCAAAATATTCAAAGTATGAGTCAAAGAGGCATGTAAACAACAAAAAATCACATTTAAAAGGAAATATTGTAAAAAATTAATAGTTAAAATGATTCACATTTTTATTCAAACTCTAAAATTTCATTAGCGTTTAACATGGAAGAAAGTGACATTTTCTGTGTAAACTTGATTCTATGTGACCATCCTGGAGGATGGCTAGAAATTTGTTGTATTCACGAGTCTCTCTCTTCGAAATGATATTGAGGATTCCCTTTTGAATCTTGGAATGGCATCAGGGAAAATAGGAGTTATGTTTTTCGGTCTTTGTACTCGTGTACTCGCTAGCACTGAGAAGGGTATGTAAAAAAGCCCTGTCCTCTAAAGGGATTGGAGACCGCATGCTCAAAATTAGGATGGAATTCCTAGTGAGCAAACAAAGCCGGACGGCATAAATGAAAAAAATCAAAAATTTTGACTAGTATTAACTTCCTTTTTCATTTATATTTTTAACACTGCTTCTGCTCCCACAGAAAGGCAGAATATGACTGTGCCTTTGTGTTGTCCAGGCTTGCAGGTATATATTAAGCTTGATTGAGATTGGTATTAGGAGAGAGAAAAAGCAAAATAATGATGCAAAAGGCAGAAAAGGCCAAAAATAAGTCAGAATGGGAAAAAAAGGCTTCGGAAACTAAAATGCCAAAATGAAAATCTACTAAAACAACACCAGAAGCACAATTAAGTGATTCCTATTGTCATAAAATAGTAATAATAACGGAAAGGCATTTTGTCAAACTTCTGGGCTCTGATTATTTATGTGTAACCCCTTGGACATTGGTTGCCGGGAAGATAACCTTTTTTTCACAATTTCGTCCAATGTTTTCCATATGGAGACATTCTGAAGTACAAATCCAATAAAATGTATAAAAATTTTATATTTTGGTGATGTATGGAAAAGAGTCGGCCATATTTATAAGATACATTTCTGTACATCACACAATACATTAGAAAAACACAATGTGGCCGCATCATGAGGAAGTATGAAATCAAGCAGTTATTACAAATAATACTCTTTTCTCATAAATTTATTTTTTTAAATGTGAAATAAGAAACATCAAAGCGAAAGTAAAGCAAAATTTAAAATTAGTATCAAGGATTAGAACACAATCTGATTTTTTAGTATTTTGCGAGCATTAAAAATAATTCTGAATAAAAAAAAACACTTGAGGTTTGATTGCCTTTAAATAATTGACAAAAATATAGACAATCGTTGGTAGGTTATTGATTAATGTAATTCTTTGTCTTGAAAAATGTTTGGATTTCGTTACTTTAAGCACATGCCATCTTTGCAGTAACCCAATTTAATGAAATGTTAACGGTACTTTGTGTACTTTCTGCAATTAGAAAGGTTTACTATGTGTGAAGGTATGCGAGTGCATGATTACATAAAAAACACGTATTCTAGCTCGTGAATCATTGTACTCTTTCCAAATGTATTATCGTGGTTTTCTATTTTAGCTTGGTTTGACATGGATGATCAATTTAATACTAAAGTATATGTAAGTAATCTTCCTTTGGATATTACTGAAGAGGAATTTGTTGCTCTAATGCAAAAATGTGGTCTTGTTATGAGAGACATAGAAACTGGAAAGATGAAGGTGAAGCTGTACACTGAACCTGGAACAACTCATCTGAAAGGCGATGCTCTTTGCACATACATAAAGGTGAGTTATTTCGTTTGTTTTTTTTGCGTGTGTTGTTGTATCTGGAGTGAACTTGGCCAAAACTTTTGTGATTGAGTGTTATTTTCAATAAATATCAAAAGCTATTGTGAATGTGAATGCTTTTTGTGTGTGTATGTGTGTGGAGGGATGAATTATGCAAAGATTCTAAGAGGTTCAAAATTTTTCCGAATCAAAAGTGTAGAGAAATCTACTAGGCAAGAGAAATCTTTGAGCAGTTTTTCTTTTACATGGATTGCGACATTCTGGGGGGGTGTACTGAACTTGTAGGGCAAACTTAGTGGCAATTTGTTTGATGAGGTATGAGAAGCTGTTCATAATGAATTATGTTTGGAGAATTGGTTTGTGAAAAATGAAATTTCTAATAGAATGGGCATTGCTTTTCCGATACATTGAGTTTCCAGGCAATTGTCTATTTTATTTAGGTTAATTAAAACAATTAAGATTTTTTGTTTATCATTTATTTAAATACTTGTACATTAAAATAATGAAGAAATAGGAATAAATTAGAAAAGTCATTATATATTCACAAAATACAGCTTGCTACAATTTTTTAAGAACTAGAAATACACTTTTAAGTTGTGTGGTGTGGTTTTGTGATCACATCAGTTATCATAGATAAAATTAATAGAAAAGTATCGTACTGAATACGGGCTGGAACTTTTATGAAAACATGCGGATTTGTGTAAGAATTTCTTCTACTTTTAATGTTCTTACCTTCTACTTTTGATGCATAAAATTTCTTCTTAGTAAAATAAATAAGATTCGACAATATATTTTACTTCAACACTACTTATTGTGTATTGATTGTATGATTTGGTTATACGGTGGCACTCAACAAGCGAATATAATATGATTTTCAGATTATGTTCCTAAAGATATCATTAATTCGTATTGAAAGTTGTGTATCATTGAAAGGACTATAGGAACGTGAGTACAAATATGTGTTGCAGTCTTCCCTCATTGTAGCTCCTTGGTTGTCTTAGGATGACGCATCCTAGGCATAGATGTACCCCTGGATAGTCAAGTAGCTACTGACTCCAGCCGCGGAAGCCTACGCTCTCATTCCTCATTGTGTTTTAAAATCATAAATGCAAATTTGTTAAGGAACATATGATTTCTGTTGTGTTGTGGGTCTATTTATGATGTGTGAAATTTAATATTTTTTTGCATACTTCGCAATTTTCTGTTTTAAGTTTGAAAGAAATTGTACAATGGAATAACATTGAAAGCTCCATGAATAAGTATTCAACTGTTACGTGTGGGATGCATTAATATTTTTGTGACCCACTTCAGTTTTCCATGTATGTTTGTTATGAGAATTCACTTCTTTTTTACATTTATGTATCAAATTTACAAAATATACATTATATAAATATAGTAGGCAACAGGATTTATTTATTTTATAGACAGGTGGGTTGGAGAGTGATGATAAGATGTTCATATGAGCACCTCTTCTCGGTATGGGAGCAGATCAGGCTGAATTTGAAGGAACCTGTACCTGTGTTGGCCAGCCCAAGTTTGATGATAGCCTGGTCGAGGCTGGTACTGTGTCTGACTTGCAGGCTGGTTGTTTGCGGGAGCTGCAGTTGTAGTCTGCTGCTTTGCATTGGCACGCTGCTGTTGACGCAAGTGCTGTCTTTGCCTCCAGCCTTGCCTCTGTTGTTTCTGGCGCCTGTTGGGGTCTCTTGGTCTGTTGGGGTCATGTTGCTTCTTGTTAGGGTCTCTAGGCCTCTTCGCAGGGTCGCGTGGCTTTTTCGGTTTGTTGGGATCCTTGGGATTCTTTCTGGGCTTTTGTGGCTGTGCTACATGAGGTTGTGGAGGTTTAAGTCGCTTGAGTGGCACTTCACAGATGTAGTGCTTCTTGTCAAGGCATACACGACTGGTCCATTTGTAGTTCATTGACGGGTCCATGATGATGCAGTTCCATTTGGGATCACTGTCTTTGGCCATTTTGGAAAAGCCCTGGTATTTGAGGGGGTGTCCGCCATTGGCACCCCACACCCAACGCTTAGTCTCCCAGTTGTAGATTCCTCCAATCCACCTCTCCAAGCGAGCTGCAATTGATGACAATATGTCAATATCTTACTTCACTGTATTAAAAAATTTGAAAGTTCTAGATTTTGATTTGTTCTAATTAGTTTTAGATTTAAGTTTATTCTTATTGATTCGAGTTTCTCAAGATTCTTTCTTGTTATCGATGTTGCAACACATTTACTAAATATAAATTTACTAAATATATTTACTAGAACACATTTACTAAATATCTTGTAAATTTTGACTTCTTGTGAATGTAATTAAAGTTACAGTTATACACAAAGTTATTTTAATTTTAACAATTATCTATTCTGACAATAACTGTGCTGTAAAAAGGTTTAAGTATTGGGAGTGTTATCATTTCTCGTAAATTAAAAGTCTGAAGTTTGAGAATATGTTCCTTTAACTACAGAATATTAAAGCTGTTTGTGAGTACTCATTCTTTAATTTTGTAATAAAATAAATCACTTCTAGTACTTTCGTAATCTTCTTTCTTTTCAAGTACAACAAGACATTGTTTCTCTTGTCTGTGATTGTTAGAAGAGTACTCATTCAAGATTTTCTCTCAAGATAGTATTTCTAATAGAAAGAGAAGAGAATTGTTTGCCTTAAAAGCCTAAAGTAATAGACATTTGATTGATACCTTTGTGAACTTACCGAGCTCTGGTTTATTGAGATATGTTCTCATATTGCGGTCTTCCCATCCTTTGTCTAAAATTGCTAGTTCACTTTTGCGATCCTTGCATGCAAAGTGAGCATCAAACCATGTGGCCATGTGTACACTGAAGTAATAGCAGCTGTTCCCATGGCGCACAAAGTCAGCAGGGCATAAGTATTTTCTCCGTGGCATTCCCTGAGCCCCTGGAACAGAAATTATCTCACTTGTTGACAACATTTAATAAAAAATAACATTTGCAAATGCATATCTCGTTTGGGTCAAGATTTTCTCTGGAGTGGCAGAATATGATTCTGTTTTTGATCTTTAAAAACAAGAGAAGGCATTTTACGCAAATTCTTTATGATGTGTTTCCATCCAGTAGATCCCAAATTATTTCTAATGTATTTGTGGGCATGAGACTGGCACTTTAAATGAATCTCAGCTAAAGAAAAGATTAAAAAGAAGCTCTGGCTTCTTTGTGCAAATAAGGAAATTTAACAGTCCTAGATGGGGAAGCTGTTATTAATTTAGACTTCTCTTTAAGGCAAAGCCACCACTATTTATCTATAATTTTTCAATCTAGCACACCTGTGGTTCATGAGGTTCAGTTAGATTTGGTTGTAGACTGATCGTGCTGATAGCAGTTTTATTAAATTTATAATTACATGTAATATTTTTTATAGTATTTTGTTAATAATTGAGAATGTCCCTTAATTTCTTAGACCATCACTGATTAAATGGGCATTATTGTAACTTAATTTTTTATTTATCTTGTTCCTATTGTGAGTGACATATGAGGTTTTTGGACAGTAGCTTGATTTTATGTTCAGATATTTAATTTTCTAATACGATACATGAAATATTAATATCTCGTTAAATTATGAAATTATTATAAAGTATTTATGAAAATCCTTATAAAATTATGAACTGTAAAATATTTGTTTTATTTTCGTTCAATCAATTATACAATAGAGTAAGAGAAATAAATAATGGCTATCTGATGTTTTGTGTATTTTGATGTAATTATGGATCTTCTTTTGGAATATCTTGTTTGGCTGAAGTATGGATGAGATTTAGCATGTTTTCTAAACATTCCGAGAAATGAGCAGAGAATTGTTGTTATTTGCTTACTTCATCTAAATTCAATTGTTCAGCTGTGAAATATAGGATAGAGAATCAAGAGGTTAATTTATGAATATTATTTTTGCTGTAGAAATAATAGTCATTTAAGTTAAATTTGACAATTATTCAGTTTTGTTTCAAAAATTTATTGTTTGATTTTCTTTGCTGAGGGGGAGTAAGTTATTTTTTGTAATCGATAGGAATTTAGTCTGAATATAGATAGGTAGCAGTTTTCTAGTTTAGTGTGAGGGGAGATTATTGTACTTTATAAATAAAAAATATGTTAAATTGATCCAGGTGATAAGTTAGTAGTAGTTTTTATATTGAACAAATAGGCAGGTGTTAAATGAATAACTTTCATTATTTGAATAATTCTTATCTATAAAGTGATTGTTGTAACGCTTGAAAAATTTTCTTAGAAAATAATAATTACAGGAAAGACAGAAAATGTGAAGTATAAATGCTGAACTGACAGTGATTGACTGAATTTGCCAGAATTCTGAACAGGTTACTTATTTTTGAATTAATGAAAATTACTCCTTTTATACATAACTTGCATATATCTTTCAAATTTTTGTTCACGACTTTTTACCTACGTTAAAAATATGTTAGCTTTTTGGAATAACAAGGAGTTTAAATCTACTCATTCTAACAAGTTTTTATGTAATGTAGTCACTTAGAAGTATCATTTTTGGGGAATCATATTTTGTTTTTATGTGTATTTTAGATATCTTCAAAAAGGAATTTATTTAAGTTTTAGTTCTGTCATTTTCTAGAAATGTCATATTTTTGTACTATTACAACAATCCTTTGAATTTTTCAATTTGACAGTTATTAAATATAACTTTCTAAGTTTAAACAATAATTCAGAAAACCAAAAGCTATGAAGAGAATGATAAATATCAACCCTTTTGTATTGCTTACGAATGGCAATCATCATCTGAGTTTGTGGAATTTAGAATGGATATTTTTCAATTGATATCTTGGGAGGATGAAGATTTTTAGTGGTCTTTGATATTTTTGAAAAAAATTGGGTGTTGTGAAAACAGTAGTATTGTTTTCGCAGATAGTCACTGTATCATTTTAGTAGATGGACACAGTGAACTATGAAAAGATATATATTTAAAACAATTGGATCGTTTATTTCAGAAACCTTTCAAATGCCAAATTCCTCATTTGGAGAAAACTGAGAATAAGTCTCTCAATTTTTCAGATTTCAAAATATTTTTTTTATTAAAGGAGTTGATAAATGAATATTTTTCATGTAAACGTGCACTAAAAGTTGTGTCTATCCTCCTGGAACAATAATCTGTTTCTAAAGCTTGATTTATATTTTGGCATTTGATGGTTATCTGAAATAAATGGTTCAATTGAACTTTCTCCAATTTTGTGAAGCTGAATACTGCTAGAGAGCATTGTGTAATTTAGAGTTGGCAATGTGCACTACCTTAGCTAGTTGTTTTCAACACTTGTCTGCTGTCTGAATCCTCAGTATATCTGCAGTATGGTCTTCGTAGATTTAATTGCAATAGGTGCAATATAACCCAGACCCAGAATTGACTCCCATGAGTCATTGATTTTGTTTATAATTCTTCATGCTCCAGTAAGAGTTTGAAGCAGTTGCTAAGTTGGTGATATTCAGAAGGGGGCAGGAAATATTGTATGTAAAGCTGGTAATGTAAATTGTTGAAAATAAATTCAGAAATATCAGATGAATAGTTTTAGAATGTTTTTAAAATAAATATTATATTGATCAGAGAATATAATCTGCACCTCAGAGATTAGTTAAAAATGTTGCTACATTCAAACAATTCCTTGTGGTACAAGATGAATGATAAGATTTTTTAAATTAAAGATTTGTCACAGATGTAGTACAGTTGAGGTAATTTTCGGCCTTGCTTTGTGGCAGTTCCTTTTGAGTTGAATGAATGAAGGTTTGTTCTCGTTCCCAGTTGTTATAGTACCCTTGACATTGATCAGTACTAATTTGCAATGCTCTTGAATAGTATTGCCGTGATGTGAACGCCATGGAATTGCGGAAATTGTTGGGCTACACAATGCCAGACGTGATAACTTGATATATTAAGTTGCCTTTAAAGAAAATTTCGCTATCGAAGAACGGAAGCCGAAGAATGCGATTATAAGATCAGATGAAGACTTTGCGTTGTGCACAATTTGAAATGATCTAGTTACAGAAGAAACCAAAAGTGTATTTTGACAGTGTTGAGCCAGTCATTTCGGGAGGTGGCGGGAAGGAGTCGATAGGATGGTGGAGCGCGGAGGGCGAGCGAGCCTTTAAAGGCGCGCGCCCGTTAGCAATAACCTGCCGCAGTAATGTGCGAGTTGTATCAAGCTGTGTAATGCGCTCTCAGTATGATACACACCGCGTAAAAGGTGGCACATCAAAGAAAGGGGCACACAGTGATACTCTCCTGCAAATTGCAAATGGAATTCTCGAAGGGATCATTTGTTTTTGGAGAAAAACAGTTCTTGAATTAAATACTTGTAGGGAATCGTACGTGAATAGAAAAAAAAGTTTGTGTTCGTTTTCGCACATTTCAATGCATTGTGTAGGCGTGATAATATAATATTTAATGGATGCAAATTTTCTCGAGAATTAGCGAGTAGTTTATTTGGCGCTTATCTCCTTAGGACAGAAGTCTCCAAACTAAGGCCCCCGACGAATTTTTCAATCGGCCCGGACTGCTTTCATGCCAGGGTCAGTTGAATTGGGCGATGTCGATGGGGCTGACCGAAGGGAAGGAGAATGCTGTTAGCGTTGGGAGAACCAGGGTGTGACACCGTGTACCTGAAGTTGAGGGATAATAATTAAAACAGAGAATTTAGACTTTGTCTCTGTTACCGACTTCCGTCGTTCAAGATGTTTTGATGAAATGCGTTCTGACACGTCTCGAGAATCGTCAATGTGCGAAGACACAATTTCAATAATTAGCGACCAATAAACTTCATTTCGGATATCCCTAACACACTGTGGAAAGCGTTCCTCCTAAAAACGAGTCGTTAAAAAAACAACTATATTTTGTTTTAAAAATAACACTTCAAATTAGTCGATTTTTTTCTTCAATGAGATATGGCAACTTCTTGCACGTGTGTAAAAATAAGCGTTTGTGTATATTTTATTAATGATCACCGTTGTATAATAGAATATTACGTTCTTAATTACTGTTTTTAGTTCGTTTCATACATGCATGGCTTAAGTGTATTACTCTTATATTACTCAAGTGAGTACTACACTTATTATCATTAGTGGAATGTCACTTTCCTGGAAATGTTTGGAGAGCCCTGTCGCTCTTGAGAAGTGCAGACTCCGCCTGGCAAAGAGGTGGCGAGGGGACGGTCCGGCCCCTCCCTTCCGAGGACAGAGATGCGCGACTGGCGGGGTACGAATCGCAAGGGCTCATGCGCACGGTTTTGGCAGGCGGTCGTGGGGAGTTTGGCTACTTTGTTACCAAGTTCTGGAATGGGGGAGGTGATTGAAAATTGTACGTTCATTAGAAAAATAGTGCCTCATTTCATGACATTTTGATAGAATGCTTCATGGGAAAATGCCTCAAACACAGTTTACCGAAAACTTGCGTGTGTCAGCAGGTTATTTATTTTAGCACCCAATTCTTTTTTCATAATTCGTATAACATTTTTGTAAATCAGTAAGCTGTAAAAAGAACGGTTCATGGTGTGTACGCACACTAGCCGGGATATAAGCTTTTATTGCTAAGTTGAATGGAGATGGGGAGGATGGGTAAACAAGCCGATGTTTATGTCCATGTTGAGCGAGTCTTGTAATTTCGTGTAGCGAGGCGGGTAGGCGGGAGCGAGCGTGGGCTTTGCCCGGCCCGAGGCGGGAGCCCGCGCCGGCAGAAGACGCGGAAGCTGCAGCGGCCGCCGCGCGCCGCCTGCCGCCCGAACCGGCTGCTACCTTTCTGTGCACGAAGCACCTCGCGACCGGCACCGCGTGCTTGTACGGACCTCACCGTAGCATTAGCATGGAAAGATTCGGGATCAAATGCACCGCGCGGGCGGTCTTATCCTTCGCTGCCCTAGGGCTACTGTATTCTTCAATGGGTACTTCGAGTATTACATATGCTTGGGCTTGATATTCTTTTGTTTCCTGTACTTGAGCCTTTTTCATGTGTAGTGGTATTGTGAATTTCAACGTTAATACATTAGATTTCGAATGGTTATGGGTTTCGTTGCAGAATATTTCTTTTCTACTTCGTCAAGATTTTTGCGTCTTTTAGGTGTTATGTACTAAGCTTCGCGCGGGTGGCATGCTGTTTGGGAAGTGTTGAACTAATTTTATACCAGGTAAATCGTTGGTTATTTTGGAGTATCGGCCGATTGCTAGCTTCGAGAAGCGACTGGGGCGTGCTATGTGGCGAGGGGGCGTGGCAGGCGACTCACCGAAGGGCGCGAGGGCGCCGAGGAGCAGCAGCGGCAGCAGCAGGAGGCCCGGCGTCCACATGGCGGCCCATGCGGCGGCACCGGCACCGACACTCGCACAAGCTCTCGCTCACTCGTTCGCACTCACACGCGCACTGGCACTGACACTGGCGTGGCTGTGGCCCTGGCACTAGCGGGCGGCGCTAGCTCGTGCGCGGGTCAGTGGGCACGGGGTGCGACGTGCGGTCCATGGGCACCCGCGGCACCGGACTGGAGAGGCGGTCTGGTTTGGTCGGGTCGAGTCGCTTCGCGTGTTGCAGCGTGTTGCCGTCTGGCGCTGAATGGGCGGCTCTTAGGTTGCGCGCCTTCTTCGCCGCCGCCGCCGCCGCCCGCAGCGCTCGCGGCGGCCGTGGCAGGCGGCGGCGGCGCGGCGGCGGCGGCGCGGCGGCGCCGCGGCGCCGGCCGGCGCGGCGGCGGCGAGTCCTGGCCGGGCGCCAGCCACCAGAGTGGAGTCGCGCTCGCACCCGCGCCCGCCGGCTATTTTGAGGGCGAGATTCAAAGAAAAAGGCTCTTCTCTCGTTAGAAGGGTTCAAAGGGAAAGAATGGAGCGGTAAGCGGTGCGCGTATAAACACGCCGTAAATTCCATGCGTGGGCGTGGGAAGAGGGCGGCGTACCGCGGCGCCACGGCTTGAGGCGCGGGTGGGCGGGGCCGAGGACGCGGCGGGTCGCTGCGAAGACCCCCCGCCGGTGTTCTTAACGGAAACGGTACATTTAGCAATGACATCAAATGAATCAGCCGGCAACTAATTTCTTCGGGTTGTTCAATCGATCACTCTGTACCTTTCCCAAGGGCACGCAAACAAACCAGGGATTTCTTGAACTGGAAATCTTCATGCCTGATCACACAAATTGTGATGATCGAAATTGAAGGGAAACGAAAATTAATTATTTTCATTATGCAACAAAACGCGCAGATCGTACTCGTCATGCGTGTTTGTTAGAGTGTGCATTCTAATATCTCTGTGTCGGTTTGAATCTCCTACCTATGTATCTGTTAAGCTAAAGCAAGCTTGTTCTCGCTTATGAACGTTTCTGAGTTTTATCCTATTGCTAGTTTCGAATTTCGATACCACATCAAGAGTAAAACTGAGATATGGTCAATGTAGTTGCGTGTCTTCTTCGCAAAAGTGAGATATTACTGCAGAAGACGTTAGCAAAGCCGTTGGATGGCTTTAAGATCGCGATAATGATGATGAATTGTAGTGACGCACCAACGTGAGCAAAAGGACCCTACACATCTCTCCAATTGCACGTGGTCAGCATTTTCTAATTGCCTTTCTTTTCTTACTGTCAATCTTGGATGTACGGGGTCTCATGTAATAATTTGATAAAAAAAATGTTAGGCGTAATCAATTTCTGTGAAAAGATCTGCCAGAGACGAACATTCGAAATCCAAAATACGAGGAGCTTTTGTCGGCAGCTAAATTGTTTGGACCCTCTCCTAATGGCTACTGAAACAATCGAGTGTCGACTGCTCCTGCAGGTAATTCTCGGGCTGTGAATCGCAGCTCTTCCCTGACATTCAGCTGTTCACACCTCTTCGATCTAAGCGCTAGTGATGTGTATCCGCCGTCATTCTATAACGAACGAAGTCGCTTCGCTCCAGAATCTTCGGAATCACGATAGGACTATATAGTTGGGAAAAATAGCCTTGAGATTTAGAATTTCGAGAACTTCTGTGGAGTTTCCATATCTTTCTTTACTTTTACCGTTACTTGTAATCACTCACCACAACAAACTGTTGTTATAGTTATTTATTGATTTTTATTTCCGGGCGTGTCAACTGCTAAGGTGATTTGGATGTTTAGTGATGTAAGTGTAGTGATGTTTTCGTCGTGAGAGGTGGCGGTGATCTTCCTCTTCTGTGTAGTGAGATCCAGCGCCGACCTATACGTTGGCTCGTGGGCTTTCCCCACCAGGTATCTCCCGCCACCGTGGCAACGCCTCTGCCGGGACATGCGTCAAGCATCTGAGTGGTCCCCCGCGTGATAGTGTTGTACGTGTGAGTGTGTAAGATCGAGGATAGGACAAGGGAAAGGAGGAAAAGATCTCGCGCGTGTCCTTAGCCCTGTCCTTAGCTTAGGGTTCTGCTCCGACATTTGCCTGGTGTTCATCGCAGAAATCACGGAAAATTACGGATCAGAGCAGCCGGCCGCTAGAAAGTTCTTCCAAGCAGCGGCTGTATTCGACCTAGCTATCTAGTTGAAAACCTTGCTACCGTCGGGACTTAAAACCTCCAGTGGACAGGCACTGCAGTGAAAACTGATGCCCTGAGCCTCCTAAGCCGGTAATAGTCTAGGCTCCCTGCGTTCTCGGAATTCAACAATTCAACAGCGTTTGTATCGAAGTGTACCCACGTTTAGCGTTTCCCTAATAACAAACGTACATCCCTGGCGCGCGTCGCGGCAAGCGACGTTTAATCTTTCCGCCTCCGCAATGTCGAGTTCCGAAGCGTGCGATAGCCCCGGCGTGCGCGCGGCACAGTCATCGTGCACAAATCTGTAAGAGCGATTGCCACCCCTTTCTAAACCTACTCAAACTGCTACGTCGGATTGGGTCCGCGAAAACTGTCGAATTGTACCGGCAGATATCGTGGCAATATCATGACATTTTATAGCGTCGAGGTTGGTATTTTACTTTTATTGCGTATAGAGGCGTTCTATCCGAAAAAAACGTTTTTGGCAGCGTATTCTTTAAGTAATGATACGTACTTGGTTTCGTCGCGTTACGGGATTGATATAAGGTATTTTGGAGACAGCGTGACTATTCTTTGTGTTTCATTGTTTGAAATCCATTTACTTTCATTCTGAACATTTTTCGTGGGTTGTTATAGTTGGGTTATTAGACTTATGATTAGATTTATCGAACTTGATGTATTCCCGAATTCCACTCGATGAACACTTATGCATTTTTTGTTTCTTTGAGAATCATCGCGGATGTGGAAGTCGAGCCTTGTTCTTCGGCCGGTGCGAGCGCAGAGCCGAAGCGAGGCGTAAGGCTACTCCGACCATAGCTGCGGTTCAGTCCGCACACCTGTGCCATTTGTTTACTAACGAAGCGTGAAATTTGTTGATTGGATATTATTTATTGTACGGCGTGAAATTTTGGAAGGACGGCATGAAGTACGTGTTCTTCAGCTTCTGGGTCAATTACCCCATGTCGATCAGGTTTTCGTCCAGTTTCCCTGATCCTTGAAAAAATGCTGAGATGGCCCCTTGTTTTGCTTCTGGACGTGAATGTAACTTCACTGTGAGCACGTTTTGTTGAACTCTCCTTGTGCTTGTAGTGGTAGGAGTAGAGGTAAGGGCGAGATGTCTGAAGTGTCCCAGCCAGATTGTAAACACGACCGTTATCCGATCTCCCCGGATCAGCGTTTAAGTGTTGTTGTTGTTGTTGTTATTATTATTATTATTATTATTATTATTATTATTTGGAGTGGGGTGATAGATATTTATTATTTCTGCAAGTAGGATGTTTTTGAAACCTGGTGGCAGAGCACTTTATACGATTGTGTAATTTACTTATAATAAGTAACTACGTATAACTTAAGTTATTATAACTTTAAGTATTTTGAAATATTAATGATTATAATACCAATAATTGCACATGTGTATGACTAATTATACGTAATTTATGTTATTTTCAAATTACATACATCACGTGATTCTCTTTACACCCAAAAAGAATAATAGACACTGAATAACACAAGATAAGTCCGTAATAATAACATTAATTATTAATAACAATAAGTCTATGTATGTATATTTTACGTATACAAACGCATTAAACAACTGATTTTCCAACTACTCAACACTACACAGTGGAGAGTAATAATAATGAAGAGGAAGTGGTAGGTGGAATAAGTGGCAGCGGAAGCCAGATTACAGAAAGAACGAATATGTCGAGCCCATCTTGTCCACCAAAACTTGCACTTTGAGATCCGGACGGTAAACCCTGGTTCCTAGAGATTGCAAGCCAGCCTGCGTGCTCTGGACGAATGTGGAGGACGGCGGGCAGAGGCTGCGGCCGCGTGCGGCCTGGCCAGGCCTCACCTCACCGGGAACGGAATGGAAATGGAATGGAAATGTGACAAAAGGAGCTCACTGACACCTCGGGGCCAGTGGCAACTTGCGGTGTTGTCGTTTCGGGCGAGCGACCAATTATTTTGACAGGTTCTGTAACAGTTGATCGTAGCCGAAAAATATATTTGGCTGTATGCCTGGCGAAATGTATTTTCCCGCCAGCCAAATGCATAGGAGTGTTGTTTATGCCTTAGAATGTCTATTCAGAGTGGGCAGATAGTTTTTTTGGTACATTTGGCATAGTCATTGAAAAAACTTTTGTAAGAATTGATATAAATCATTATGAAAAAGTGTGCGAATGTGTTCTTGAGAATTAACTCATTACTTTCCAACATTGCGTAAGCGCAAAACCATGTTCACTATTTTATTTCACCTATACGATTCGTTGAAAGCATTTACAACTTTTTACAGTAAATACAGTCCATAATATATTTAAAACTATTTTTATGTGTTAATTAATTTGTATAAATACACATTTTAATTTTTTCTTCATTAATTCCTGTGTCCTATTGAGGCATATATGCTTCCATCTCATTTCACTCTCAAAAAACATTCCTGCTTTGAGAGACTGGGTCATCCATTCATGTAGGAGGGATATTTCGTATTTTATTTTCATTGGGCCTTGACTCGATTCGATATAGGTCATGTTGATTAGTGAACGGAGTTGACTCTCTTGTCATAACAGATATTGGGGTATGTTGTGCGTATTTTGTCAGTCTTTTGAACATGGAGTTTGAAGTTATTTTGAATATGGAGTTGCATTATTAGTAATTCTAGGTTGCTTGTCCTTTGTATAAATCTCACCAAAGTACATCTACGACACTACTATCACAAAGAGCAGCGCAATTAATTGTAGGTGTCGCACCAGAATGGTTGCGCTATTCATCTTCCTTTTTCATTATTAATTGGATCTCATCGTTTTAGCCGACAACACAGAGCTTGCCCGTCGCCAATCCCGAAGAGGTGCTGCGCGGAAGTGTATTTAGCGCTTTCAAGATTATAATGGCCTCTTGCTTTGATTTGTTGATCTGTCTTCTCTATAAGTCAGAAATCTCGTTGCGTAGTTAAAGTTAGAAATCGCGTCGGGTAGTTGCTATTACTGTTGATGTATTTCTCGTGGCTGATGCTCGTGTGCTTCATCTGGATTTACATTATCGGTTAAAGTGGTTACAGAACGAGATATCTTTATCCACTATCGGAGGTTCACGTAGAACACAAATCATATGTACTATACTTACGGGACTAATGACCTTAACAGTTGACTCGCCCGGAA